AGGACAAACTTGCATTCACCAATATATTCTATAATGCCAATACTTAGGTTCTCTTATCAGCATCATCTGAAATGCTGTTATCTTTGTTGTCTAGAAGCAAGTTTTCTAATATATAGTTCATTCATCGGCTCTCTGATTCTCTCTCATTCAACCAGTCATATTCAAGGGAAGGTCAAGAGAAAATCGGAAGTGCCTTGGTAAGGCAAACCTGACTCCATAAATGTTCGTAAGAGACTTTTGATAGAGAAAACCCGACCGTTTTCTTCTATTCATTATGTTTAGTTATCATGGTCTCTTTTTGCAGCTCCGCTAACTAAAGCCTCCAACACATTAGAAGACTTGGTGTCTTCTATTCTGTTTTATCGTTCATAAGTTACATGGAACTCTTCTAATGTGTACCATAAAAAAAGCTATCTTCAATTATGAAAACCTGTTTTGGAATAAAGACGTTTCTGAATCTCCAGAAGAAAGTTGGAGGTGAAGAAGTTTTTTATCTAATACAAAACGAATATTTTATATAATATGTTGCTGTTTTACAAAGATCTCTTCATGTGCTACACCCGCGAATGTGCACTCAGCCCACGACATCGTATGATCATAGAAAGGCTTTTTGTTCAGAGTAAGTTCCACAGAAGCCCTAAAATGACTCCACGATATGTTTTCAAAAAAAAGCATAATCTTATAGAGAGTTGTTTCTGGAGGATGTTTTCTAACTCGGAATTGACACATCGTCATTATGACGATAGTAAAATATTGTTCATACTAAACTTAGATATCATTATGGACTTAAATACTAAAAAAGTCTTTTGCTTCATTTATCAAAGGAGTCTTCTGCTATGGGGAAATTTTGTATTTGTAGGGGGAGGGTCTTCCAATGTGTTGGGGGCTTTATAAACCGACAGCCGCACCCACACGTCAAGCTCATATTCAATACATTTTAGGAATTATTACATTCCACTATATGAATGATTTTTCAGAAAAAAATCGCACATGGAAACCAATGAAGATGAAGCTTAAAAAAATAAATTACAAGAAGAACGTTGAAACAGAGATTTAACATCATTCCAACAACCAGAAAATTATTTATGCTATTTTATTCATGGAAAAACAGATATATTTATAATGGATGAATTAATCGATGAAGTAAAATTAACAAATTATTTTTTTTATGGATACAGAAGATGACACATTATCACACAAACGTGCAACATTACAAATTGAATTTATTCGTCAAAAATTACCATTTATTACATTTTCGTTATTCAAAAACATACAACAATTATGTTCAATTATATTTACGTCATACAATTACATTTATTCACGGGGTTCAGCATTAGAAGAACGTAAAAAATTCAATTCATTTAATTTAGTTAGTGCAAACATTAAAATTAGAGATTATAATATACAAAATGACTATTATGATGTAAGTCAAAAATAATCATGACAAATTGTGATTAAATACGAATTCAAATAATATTTAAATAAAACAGCAATATTAACAGAATGAGAATGTGATATTGATCTTGCTTTAAATATATATATTCCAGAACACGTGGCTGACCCTCAATGTACATGTTGTATATGAGAAGAAAAGAAATAAGGGTCAGGCTTAATAGAATATACCGTTAATAATGTTTTTGCTGTTACAAAATTATGTTATAAAATGAATTTAATAAATCTATTAGCAATATCACCAACAATTCAACATGAGAAAATATCTAATAATGAAGAATTAATAGTTCATGTAGAAGAAGACTTAACAGAATTAAATGAAAATAAATTATTTTACGATGAATATATAAATCACAAAGAAGATGCTGAATCAATGCAAAAGATAAGTATATGAAATAAAATAACTATAATGCTTCATTTTCAACATGAACTAAATCAGCCGTATATACAAGAACATTACCATGAAGAAACATTAAATGAAATGATGAAAGTTCACGTATCAAATGAACTTCAGCAGAGTAGAAGTTTTCACTATTTAGATTGAAACAAAGCAACAATCTTAACATTAAACAATATAGGAAATCATCAAGTCAATTGTTATTATCAAGCAAATCATTATCGGTACGAAGTTATTCCTCATGTTTATCTACTATTTAATATTACCAAGAACAAATGGATATTAAAATTAATGATCATATTCTATGTTAAGATCAATATAGTCAGACATACATTGTTGATTGGATGAACAAAAAATCAAACAGTCATCGATGATTTTGAAGAATTATCACACGATCGGGTCTTCACGCGGCAACATTATCATCGATCATACAGATAATAGACAGTTTTTTTTTTTGCCTTTTATTTATATGTTGTTGAACACGTGTAGGTATTTTACGATAGGTTTTTTTCTTGGCCTCTCATGTGTGCGGGCACACATTTTTAAAGGGTGGTCGATTGTTAGGCACTTCGTCTTTATAGCATATGTTTCTACTTTTTTCTTTCTGTTCTCTTCTTTGGATACCATATTGTTTCTTTCTTCTTGTTAAATCATCTGTTTCTTTTAGTGATATCCCTTTGACCGTTTTCTTTATTATATTTTCTCCTCGCATTTGACCCTAGATTTTTGATGATAAATATATGTTTTTTCTCTCTCGATGTTGTTGTGTTGTACGTACATTTTTCCATTGAAACAAATGAGGAAAGGTTATATATAAACGGACCTCTAACACCGATCATAAAGCTTATCTGATATTTTTTTAAAGCTTTATATTTCAATCATCAAAGTGTAATTGACAAGAAAAGAATAATTCAAAGAAAAAGCATCGTTTCTGTTTTATTTGACAACTAATGATTCTGTTTTAAAACGCACAAGTATATTTGTCCATAGAAGATAGTAAAAATAACATTTTATCAATGAAATTATATTGAATTTATTGTTGATACAACGTCAAAACTACGAATAGAATAACCATTTCGAATATTTCTTAAACGAAGTGTAACTATTGATGGAATAATTGTTGGATTTATATTAAATTGAAATGATGGTACTGGTCGAAATAATGTCATATTTCCTGTTGATGGTGTTTGTACTTGAATAAAATTTGCATTATTAATCGATGCTTCTAATATACCTGAATTACCAGCAACATAAACAGTTATATTAATTTGCATTGATGATTGAAGAATTTGTAATGGATAATAAAATGTTGAATTTGGACCTAAATTTCTCAAATATGGATCTGCATAGGGTACTTTACGATTCATAAAATTGGTAGCATTCACATCATAAGATGGTATGGGTATACCAAATGTTAATGGTATGGAACTTTGACGAATTTGATCAATAGCTTGTAATTTTGGTGATGGTCGTGGAAGTTGTGTAACAGGTGATGATGAATTAAACATTGTTGTTGTATCCATTAATATTTCTTGTCTCATATCTTCTAATAAACCCCATGAACCTGTTGATGTTACTTGAATTGCTCCAGCACCAAACCAATTCAATGGTTGAAATCCATATCGATACCAACCATTTAAAAATGAAACACACAAATCAGTCATACGATTATCACGTGTAGCATTTATTTTTGCTTGTAATGAACAACTTCCACAACCTGCTGCTGTATCTGGTCCTCCTTCATAACCATGAACAACTAATCCATACCAAGCAGCATAAACAGCATGTACACCAATTGGTGCTAGTTGACTCCAACCCTGTTCAGGTAAATATGTTTGTATACTAGAATTGAGTCCATCAATAACTTGATCTGTTGTTAAATTTGACCATGTTTTATATTGTGATAAATCAAAATAAGGAGCAATAGCAATACCATGAAGAAATGTTGATGGTGCACCATAAACTTTATTCAAATAATCTAAACCTTGTGTAATTACAATTGGATTTACACTTTGACCAGCTAAAATTGGTCGAATTCGTTTCCATGGACCAACATTTTGCTGACCGAATACAGTTTTAAATAGGTCAGATATACGTTTGATTTGTGACGCTGTTCGTCGAAATGCCCAATAACCAGAATTTGTATTATTATCATAAGCTAATTGTAATGGATCACCACGATTCAAAACAGAATCATTTGCAGCTTGAAGATTTGCTTTAGCTTGTGTAAATATATAATTCCATACTTCGTTTGAATATTCAACATAAATATTAATTGTTGGATTTAATTGGCTTAACATTAACTGTGCTACATTTAATACATAATCATCTGTTGCACCAAATGGTATATTTATCCAAATGTCAACATTTGAATTAAGTTGATTTACAATTAATGGGATTGTTTCCCATGGATTGTGTTTAGGTGTTGTATATTGTGGCCAATACACTGGCGTTGTATCAACCCAATTAACATCTGGATTATTATTTGTGCTAGTCCAATCCATAAAACGTATGATACTAAAACGTGATAAATGGGCTAACATTAAATTAGTAATATTTGATTTTGATGCTAAATCGTAACCAGGTTGTAGTACGCTTATATTTTGCAAACCAGGACCACTTGTATTGGTAAAACTAAGCATTATTTGGGATGCACCTTGCGGTATTATCACCAAAGCTGATAGAGTATTTGTTGAGGAATCGTATATTTTATTTGCAATACGTCCTGCGGATGATCCACCAGCCACAGTTACTTGTGCATTACCTTGAGCATTTAATAAATATGTTCCACCCATATCGACAGCATTGGTAGATAGTACCATTCCAAAATCACTTGTAGGCCATCCAGTTATGGGATCAAATGTTGCATTTGCATCCCAAGGACGAGATGGACTACCCCATACACGAGATTGTCTTACTAGATTAACATATGGTAGACTACGACTCCAGTCACGTAGACCATCCAAATTTGCGCCAATAGCAACATATGCACTAATATTTGGTATAGAAATAAATATTGAAATGATGATACCCCAATGCATTTGGATGTGATCTAAAATTTAAAAAAAATAGAAAAATCTCTGATGATATTTCAATTCAATTGGTAGAAAAGAAATTCGATAGCCCAAGAGTGGTGTAGAAATAATATTTTTTTCTAATCTATAGAGTCAAATGGCATTTTAATCTTGTCTTAAATGCAGCTCGTTAGTAACTAACTGGTTATGAAATTGAATGAACTGCACTAATGAGTGACAAAACTACGTATTGCTGATTTATATGGCTTTATTTGGGGTCACAAATTGCACTCAGTGCATCATTTTTCTCAATCGAAAAAAAAATATTGAAATAAATAAACTTGTATATTGTTTTTATTAGAATGAAAAGAAATTGTATGCTTTATTTTTTAATGCTGTACGTAGAACGAATATGATATGTGGCGATAGTAAATATTGACATGAAATGAATCGATTTTTGACCATTCACCTTTCTCAAACAAAACAAGTAATCAATGACTATATGTTTTTCACTATATAATAACATTGACATCGAGGCAAAAAAAAACATTGTTTTTCTTTCACATAAATTATTGTTAGCAGTAAATAACATGTATTTTATGTCCTACAAGTACAATCTTATATTTCTCATCAAGTTTGATACAATATTATTTTTTGCACTTAAATATAAGTGCAATTCATAGTTTTTTTTCTTGAAAATCGTTCACTCTCTTCGTAGCACTCTCAAAATTGAGGCATCTCTCAAGTCTTAGGAGATCAAGTTTACATTAAAAGTATTTTAAAATACTTCGTCAACAAAATGTGATTTCATAAAAGTTGTTGTTTTGAGAAATGTCAGCATTTTGTTGTAAGCAAGTGTTATTAAATTTCTTAGATTCTTTTTTCCGCATGTTCAAGCAAATGTTTTAAATAAGCTTTTACTACTGTTTACCTAAATATAGTAACCATAGACGACGGTGAACACATACAATATTGATAGTGAATAGATTTTCATGATGTTTACTAGGTAGGGAATAATATTTTTCTAGGGAGATATCAGTAAGATTTCAAATATAGTAAACAATAAATTTTATATCAAATGAAAGCTCATCGAAAATGGGAACTATCAGTATTATAAATAGTGAGGGTTAGCACGCACAAGAGGTGGGTAGGAATAGTATGATACATTTACTTTGACTTTAGTTGCGAAGTATAATGTACACTATGAACTCTTGTGATACTTTTATTGCAGAAAATCTCATGCGACACTTTGACACTATTTTTTCTCTTTCTCATGAACCAAACGTTTTCTAATGCTGGTATTTTCAATGCTAGACGAGTAGAATGAATATACCCTTCAAATTTTCAATTTTTTTCTCATAGTCTTTATAAACAAGGAACAATACTATTTTTTCCTCGTTTTTAACAGGCATATCTACTATTCACTAGTTTTCATTTAACACTATCCCGATTGTTTTTAGTTCGATTGTTCAATCTCAGAATTATTTTTAATCTCACATGACAGGTAATTGAACGATGACTGTACAATTTATATTTAGAAGAAAATATAAGTAAAATCGCGATAAATATGTCTATCAGTTTTACATTCGAAAATTGCAGATTGTTTGCTCTAATTCTGCCAACTTCCAATGTGTAAACAAGGAGAGAAGAAATTGATCACATGGCATGTTTTTAAGAATAATTGGCAGTAAAAATCTATCTGTTAGACCTTACTCGCTCAAAACTCAAGCAAACTTTAAAAAGCATACGATGGATGCGACAAGCACTCGAAATTTTGAAATATATATTTTTTGTTCGTTCTGTTTTGATTTTGAGCCCCTCGGCAGTCATTAGATTCCGACCACTCGAAAACTGTATTCTATCGGACATTCATTTTCGACTCCTGAAGCACTTTTAAATCCCTCGATACTCATCGAAGTTTCAAGGACTTCAGAAAAGAAACATATCGGGAGCATAATATTGAGTGCTTCAGTAGAAGCAAGCCTAGCAGAATAACAGTTTCAAGTGGCGAGGTTAATTTTGAGGGTGTGGGTGAATAAATGATACTATCTTTACAACACACCCACACCCACACCCACACTACACCTACGTCCACACCCACACACCCACA